GTTTGAGGGCCTTACACTGCGTCCTTAAGAGCTCCTTCCTCCAAGCGCTAGCAACGGCTAGTTGCATGCACGTGTCCTACGCAGCGCTAGGGAGACCGCTGCGGAGTGTCTTTACATGGCAATTTAAGACAAAGCATTCATTCCGCAGGGCAAGCACAAGGGTAGGCAAGCCTGAACGTGTAAACCTAGATACCTCTAGGGAATCTGGGGTTCACCCGGAGGCATCTCGCAACTGCTGCGCTATGCTGCCAGGTCAAGCATGCTCGAGCGGTTGTTCCGCACTTGAAGAAACATTTACACACACCCCGCTCGTGTGGAATGGCTAGTACACAAACTACACAGAGGACACCGCTTCTAATTGGGAAGCTATCATCTCTAACCAGCACATATATACCAGCTGGCTGCTTTTGCTTAGACTGTGTCCATACCCCCCATCGCAATGAGCATACATTCCGAAAACATTTCGCTCCACAAATACAAACTTGGCATTGATCTTCTTCCAATATTTCCAAAATTGCTCCTTTGCCTAAAATGCGTACTGCATGTCGCCGAAGTACTTGAACACAAACTATAAGGATACTCAGTGGACCTGCCGCGGAGCATTGTTCGTCCGGTGCCCTGCGGAGGAGCAGAGGATATCCATGAAGAACTACGCAAACGCCCGTCCATCCTCAGACGGCCTTTCCCAAGTAGTGTAACACAAATGGCACCTTCAGCAGACAACTGACCGCTGCATAGGTATTGTGGCAAAATGCTACACATTACTTGCCTTCTCAGGAAATCCCTCCAAGCCCTGATATACAGCTTCCGCTTCATTTCTGTTTCAAAATGCTTGTAAGCATGTTGTGTCAACGAGTTCCCAATGACTCATTCCTGTCCTCCAAATGCCTCAGTCTAGCCCCACAAACAAAATTCGATTGCTCACAATGCATACCAGCCAAATCCACCCAGTGAATATCTAGTAAGAAAGCCGGAGAAACTGCGGACTAGGTTACTCCATGTAGTTATCACTGCCACACAAGAGCCAGAGCGCAATGATTGACTTCTGCGGCAAGAATGCGCAAACATCCGGCAAGTTGAGGATAGCTACCAACTGTGTCAGTCGTGTGCGCATCAACGGGGAATGCCGTTGTGGAACCACACCTGCGAGCTCAAAAATTCAAGTATTCGTGCAAGAAGTCCAACCGCTCGAGCATAAGCATACAAATTGATATCGATATCTTCGCCTATTAAAAACGTCCAGGCAAACTTCTCCAGTTGGTGCGCAAGGCCTGTTTGCCATAAAAAAATCGCATCGAGTCTTACTCATGAGCCCTGAGCTAGGCAAGAAGGGGTTTTATAGGCGTTTATAAGTCTCAGTCCGCATTCAACGCCAACGAAACCTCGTGAAACCAGAACGTCTGACCTGACACAAGAGGACTAGCCTGCCCGACAAAGTATTTGGAACAAATTCTTCATATGCATGTAGAAGGCTAACTGGTAAGAAACGGGGGTTGTCTTCGAGGCCAACATCGGCGCACCAATCGTCATCTCCAGCCCAAGGAACACATTCCGGAAAGTTAGTTCTTGAAGTACATAAAAAGTCAAAAACTGGTGCGCTGATCAACCACATCAGAGGCGCCAGGCGAGCGCTGGAACTCTAATTGCCCTACAGCATCCCTTGTCTTGCGTAGTACAAGCGAAAAAAAGGGCTAGTAGCAAAGTAAAACAAGCGTCACCAGACGTTCAACTGAAAATCGCCGACTCATTGAAGACGCTTACCTCTCCTGCACTATTTTCCTCACGACACAGCGGCTGCTGAGACCTTCCCACAGGCGAATACGCGACGGCGGGATCAGGCTGCGTCGGTCGCATCACACTACGAAGAAGCAACCGTAGGAGAACATGCTTGCCGCTTCTTGCGGGCAAGCATGTTCTCGTACGGCTGCTTCTTCGTTGGCCATTTGACCACTGAAGATGATAACGAAGGCTTCCTGTCCAAATTTTCGTCCATTGCATGTAACCCCCCTCAGCTCCCTTATGAGATCGCGCTCACAGTTGGGGAAGCTCCGCTGCCAACATAGCATCTACAGATACAGTATATTTCACAAGTTTGCTTTGAACATCTTAACTAGTCACTAGCATGCAGGCATTCACTAACTGCTGATGCGTGTGAAGCTCCCCGTTCTATTGCTCTATGTGAAGCAGACATACCCTGCTTCGTCAGCCAGCACCTACATTGCATTGATCTGAAGCTCCCTCCGCAAGACTCCGCGCATTCTCTCCAGGCGTGTTCGCGTTTTTGTTGGATTGAAGGATCTTGACGCAACGAAGGATCAAAAAAATCGCAGCAGCACTGGCAGCCAGAAGGGCCAGGAGGGCCGGTAGAGACAACGCCGTCTTGCGTTCCCCTCCATATACAGGTGAAGGAGAACTCTCATCTAACACTGAAACTTGATTTGTTGGCGAAGCGACTTCAACGCTCTGAGGAACAGAGCCCTGGGCTTCGGCCCCGCCAGTTGCCTCCCCTAGAAGTGCCAGGGAGGCGGCAAAAAGTGACAAAAACGAACGCATTTTGCAAAGTAGTAGGAGTATTATTGCGTATGGAATAAGAATAAGAACAGAGCTCTTAAAATTTCAGTGTATGGATGGAGCGAGTGCTCCGTGCAAGCTTCAGCAGGCCCGCACCAGGCCAGTGTACAGGCCTCCAGAACACGAGGCTGCAGGACTCCACTGCGCTTCTTCGCCGTAAGCGAAGTATATGCATTCTTCCCAACTATTTTTGAGTCTTCTGCCCTATATAATGAAGTTAAAGTGAATAAATACAGCCATCCCTTTTGTACAGCCAACCGGCGCCACAACGAATGGTGCATGGCACGCTTGGCCATGTAGTTTTGTTTGGGTGTGAGAGCTCAGGTGGTCGCATGTATATTAGAACGACAATGAAAAATTAGTGGCTGAATGATCTTCCCTGTGTAAAATAACAGCACTTTTAAACTGGGCGTGAATCTCGTGGGTTTGTTGCTGCACGACCGTCCTCTACAGATCGACAACATTCGTTGCAATGCTGCGCAAACATCATAGACTGATGATAAGAAGAAGACGAAAAAAACTGATTGATTTTACGTCCCAGTCTTCAGCCGTCCTGGCCCAACAGCCAAGAGGCCTGGTGTAGCATGGTCAGTGCGAAACATGAAGTAGGATGGACTGTCCGATGTTGGCAAGAGCGCAACTACTTGGCCCTAGTCGGAAGCCTACACGTATGCAGAAGTACAGCAGTTTTCCACAGTGTGAGTGCGTGCAGCGAACATGGCTGATTGGTCAGAGGCGGGCAGGATAACACTTTTATTGGCGGTGCCCCAACCCACAACTTCAATGCAGGGGACATATTCCAGTGGATTAACTGTTAAAGTAGATAAAGGTCTAAAGCTAATAATTTAAACATCCACGTGCTAAGTGCAAAGCGCACTTAAAATGGCACCCTTCCTTTCGCCTAGCTCAGGCGCAATACAGCACGCAATAACAAAAAAATGCAAGCAAGCAAGCTAGGCGTACAACTAAACAGTCCGAAATCAATAGTTATAGATGCATTTTCTTGAGTATTTGTGACACGATACACCGCCTCATGAAGCCTTGTCACAGTCAATTACTTGGCACACTGGATCAGCCAGCATCGGCAATACCACTAACACACAGAAAGGCTGAATGTGTAGGAGCAAGCATACGCGCGTTTGTGCATATGCTTGCTCCTACACATTCAGCCCACTGAGCATTCCAGAAGGACACTCAACAGCCTGCCGTTAGAGAAGTGTTTTCCCGTTGCCTGGATACCCTCTGCAATGTGAATGGAGCTCACAAGCAGAGTTCCGGCAGGCTTATTCAACTTCTTCATGTAATATTGTTATCTGCGAACACATTCGTACAATATCATGAGAATAAAGACAATATAATAAATCTGGTGTTACCTTCCGGGCGGAAAATGATTGACAGCCCGTGGTTGGTTGGCTAAACGAATAGAACAGGAGCTATCTAGATGCAAAATGCGCTTTCATATGCGCGAATTTATCAGCACGACGGATATGCTGAGGCAACAGCAGCTTCTGCGGGCGGTAGCAGTAACTGTAGTACAAGCAACTTCTGCGGCAGCAACTGCGGCAGGAAAACTTCCCACCCACTTCTTGACTGGGTAACCACGCACACGAGTACGTGCGCTGCTTGGGAAGAAAGGAGGAGCAGAGATAGTAATTTCAGTTAGACGCTGAGTCTGATGTTGTTGGGTGTCCTATTTGCGCTCAGGCTAGCAAAGTAACTGGGTATCTTCTGCCTACACAGTTTGCGTAGGCAAAAAAGAAGGGATTGGCTGTGTTCGACCCTGGCGTTGCTTCGAGCGTCCTCGATGCTAGCTGAGGACCCTCGCCAGCTGCTAAGAGCCAACTCATTGGGCTGATATTTCCCAAAAGCACACCAAACCCCAAATCCAGTCCCCAAGAGGCCTGGATACGGCGGCTCAAAGGCGTAGTGTAGCCAGAGTCCTCGATATTGCCCGAGGACAGAAGTAAGCTGCACTAGCAACAACACGTAGGAGCCTCTAGTGCTGGGAGGCAAACCCAGGCATGCACAACCAGCCCCTTCCACTAAATGCACAATCACTGTAGGCAATTGCTAAAGACGTATTTGCCCCATAGTACGCCGCCTGCAGGCAAGTAGATGTACAGTTCCCAATTTCAGTCAGACCACAGACTACGCTACAGTATACGTTCCTCGGCTGCCTGGCGAAGCTCGTCCTGCTTCCTCAGAAATTGAAGGACGGTCGGCGCCACAAGAAAGACGAAAATAGCAAATGCCCCTAGTACTGAAACGTACAGATTCTGTCGCGCTCGTGAAGACAATCGAAAGGAACCTCCTTCAGTGTTTTCCGACTCCACGGTCGCCTCCCTGAGCACTACAGTTGACTGGCCCAGTGGAGCCGCTGCCACGGTTGCAAAGAAGCATAAAAGAACCAAAGCTATTCTACTTCCGTTATGCATTGTTCAAGTTGTTCTGCTCGCATCGCATCGGAGGGTAGCTGGGCGCAGCGTGTCCCCGCTCAGACCGGTGCAGCCTTCTGGCCAGGTAGTAGCACAGCAGACCGCTGCAGAAGAGGTATGGCTTAAAACCTTATTTTTGCAAGGGAAATATGAAACAATAACGCAAAAACACAGGAGAAGGTGAACAGAGACCAAATGCAGATCAGTCCTGTGTTTATTACTGGTGATTGGCTACTGGTCGAGCGGCCAGTACCGTGGGGCTGGTTCTGGTGGTGAGGTGTGTTGAACACACTCTAAGAATTCCCCAACTCCATAAAATCGAAAGATCCTGGCATTATTATAATAATAATTGGCGATGGGTGGCGGGAGTTGTCTTGTAGGCTGCCAGATCGGCAGTTGCGTATCCGCACTGTTCCGGTGGCAGGGGGTCGCGTAACTGCGGTGAAGCTGGGGCCGAAGGCATATGGTGGGGAAGCTTCGCTGAAAACCTTCACAGGTTCTGAACACGTCATTCTGAACAATCACACAACTTCGCAGAGATGTTGGCGCCCCCCACGTGGTTCGATTTCTCCGCCGAGTGTATATACACTGCACAGAAACATAAGAAAAGCAAGTCGTGGAGAGATGGTGTCTGCACATGCTGCTTCGTGAGAGGTTGGATCGTCTTGAAGCTGTTTCCTGAAGGCGCCAGCACCACCAGCGAGCCTCTCGAGGTCTGGCGCCTTGCACCCAACACGCCGGAGGCTGTAGCGCAGTGAGTTCGTTGGGAGGGTTTGTGTCTTGGCCTACCGCTTCGTACGTATTTGAGGTTGTGGACGTAGAAGTGGGGCAGGTGCCGTCGGTAGGCGGTTGCAGCCTTGTAGGGATGCGGCAAGGAAGTTGAAGTGTCGCTTAGTCTGTGGTTCTTTGCCACACGAAATAGAGGCGTTTCTGAACGCGTTTTTCATGTTTTTGACTTTTTTGACAGTGTATGCACTGCTACGAAGGTCAGTACTCACTTCTACTAGTGAGAATGCTAAGAACCATTTGGATGATTCTGAATGAATGGTGAAATGCCAATGACCCTTTAGGGTTTTGCTTTTTCAACGGCATTTGTTCAGAAAATGATCCTACACAATATTTCATGATGCCCTTTCGGGCATTCAGTAACCTTTACGGTTGTTGCCCAGGACTAGTACTGAGCGCACTTGGCTTCCCCTGAAGTACATTTCTATAACGGAGGACTCTGCTACACGATTGGGTATGGTGTGGGCGTAGCGCAGACTGGTTTATGCTTGCTGGTTTATCTGCTCAGGCAGGAAGTCGAACTCGAAGTGCATTTGGTTCAGTTATTGGGGAACCCTCAGCCGCTGCGGGGGCAGAATCCGCCTCAACTGCAGCAGCAGCCTCAGCTTCCTTCTGTAGAGGCTCAGAAGGCAACAGGTTATCAGTCTCGCTGCTCTCCTCCGTCATCTTCATCTCACTCTGATGCTCCGCTTAGTCGCGTCTCTAAAGGCCTTCCGAAGCGGCGCCTTGCAGGGGGGTTGCCTCGGCCTAATGGCGTTTCTCCCCAAGGATTCCGGAGGCCTGCAGCGGTCCCGTCGCGCGTAATGGGGTTTGAGCGTTCAGTTCTTAATAATGACCCAGTAGGATGCAGAGATTTTGAGTCTTCGCAGCCTCATAGCCACCGCTCTAGCGGCGCTTGCGCCGCATTTGTGCCTCCTCTAGTCCGACCCGCAGAGGAGCTGCCGAGTGCCTTGGAAGCGCTTCCCTTGGAGAAGGCGTGGCCTGTGAACGGCGCCAAGGCTTTGCTCTCCTCGATTTGTCTTTGCTGCGGCGTTATAGATTGCTGCCGCTGCGCTGATCCAAGCTTGCAATCGGGTAGCGGCTTGGCGGACTTCTTCAGCGGGATTTTCAACGTTGTTCCCACTGAGGATGCGCTGCAGTGTCAGCAGATGGGCATAAAGGCAGATATCTTGCCCCCTAAAATTCACGAACTCAGTGCTACAGCGGATGAGGAAAGCACTTTAGTTGAATGTTATTCCCAAGCGGAGGCGGGAACAGCCGCTGAGAGCTGCTATGCACCTTCTCTTGCTAAGGCACCGCAGTCTCGACCCGATACCCAGCGTCATCTTGAGGAGAATTCAAATGCTCCCTTGCAATGTTGGGCTCCGTCTCTAGCGGTTTCTGCAGAGGCCAGCACTGCAGCGCAAGGGGAGGAGAGAAAAGCGCCACCGCAAGGCTTTGGCGCTGGGTCTGCAGCAATAGCAGCAGCAACTTGTGGCAACGGCGGATCTATTCCAGGCGGCACTGGCACAGCTTCTGCTAGCAGCGGCGCACGCAGGAGCAGGTTCTTTGCGCTTGCTGGGGGATGCGTGCCCCCACCCAACAGCGGCGCCCAAACGGCTTTTTACTGCAGCGGTCAGAACGGCGCTAAGAGTTTCTCACCCAGCCGCGACAGCGCCCAGGGACAAGGCGCGGCTTGCGTCAGAGCCTTCAACCAATCTCCAGGACCTGCTCCACCCGTGGGATCTTGTGAAGCAGCTGGCGGACGTAACATTTCTGGGCAGACGGTTATGAAGCCCGAGGTGCAGCACCCGCTGCAGGCGCAGCACTGCGAGCCTTGGCAGCATGGAAAGCTGCAGCAACTTCCGTCAGAGAAGGGGGGAACAGTTGGGGAGCCGCAACCTCAAGTCCTTCCCCTGCTACTAGCTGAAGAACTGCCTGAAGGGCAACTCGAAAATTTGGTAGACTTCGTCCCTGTTACCTTTTGCACGGCGCCGGCGGAACCGCCTCCTTTCAACGTGAGACAGGAAAACGTCTAGACTTTGGCCTCGCAGCTGCGGAAGATTGCGGCCTTTGCAGTAACGCTGTCACGTCCTATAGAACTCCATTTTCTGCTTAACGCAGTGGACTTAGCGACTAAGGGGATATGTGTTTGCTTGCATCTAGGCGGCGTACGCGGCTGCTCGGCACCTGTTCCTGTCTACGTCCCTTGAAGGCAAGGGCTTGCGCGCAAGTCAATTGGCATTGCGCTACTTCAACAGCGTCCTTGTCTCGTTGCAAACGGCTCTGACAGAAACTGCACAGCAAATCAGCTGGAGCACCGGCTGTACGCCTGCCTGCCAAATATTCACAAAACCTGCACAGGGGTGCAGCTAGCGGTAGTGGTTTGCAGAAACTCATTTTTTTTAACTACGAGCCTCTAGATGATTTACGTTGCTTCCTTCTAGGCAGGTGAAGCTCGCTTTGGCTGCGCACACAGCTGTGCATCGTGGACGCTCCGTTGCTGCTGTCACAGGTTCCCCCGGAATGGGTGAGGCCCGGTTTCTCTTAGAAGGCGCATGCATCCGCCTTGATGGAAAGCATCATTCTGGCTTCCAGCAGAGAGTTGCTGAGGTACGCCTTGCCACTTATTCCATGGAAGCGCAACAACGGCGCTTCTGCACAATGAAGCAGGCAAATGACTGATGGAGGCAGCACAGTAACATCTGCAAGGTTATTACTAAAGAACGGCCAAATAAGCAAAACCCTTGCTCATGCAGACAGACGTGTTATTGAGTTTTCCTTTAAAATATCAACTCACAGAGGAACCCATGTTTACGAGGAGAGGCAGCGGCTCCAGTATAATGAAAATAGCATGTTGAAGGGCTTTTCCAGGATGTGAAGTACATCGCCATTCTTTGCGCGCCATTCACATCTCCGCATCCATAGGCAGGGTATGGAAGCTTATGATGCGGAAATGTGTTCGGGCGTCCGTGTTGTGGGCCAGGCCAACCGACAGCGAAAAGCAAAGCAACAGCAACTGCGGCGATACCATCAACTGCGTCAGCGGAAGAAGCGACGCATTGCTTCTGGAAAGACTGTCAGCTCATCAAGCGAAGTAGAGGAGCAGGAGGGCACATCTGAAGCCAGTGAAGGCGAGGCGGGTGTCCAAAGGCAGCCAGGTCTTCTCCTGGACCTCTCAAAAGCCACCTTCTTGCCAGGGCCCCCCCAGCCATTGCAGGAAGCCCACAATGCGCCGAAGAGGTCAAGTATCCCTTTCGAAAAGGCGGCATCAATTAAAGAACAGCTTGGGCGCAACGACATATGGGCATTCTCCACTGACGGTAGGGAAGCTGACACGCAGTATCTTCAGAAGGCCCGCCTAGAATTTCTTAGGGTTTTGTTAGCTGCTGAATGGTTCGCGTGTTGAGCAGCTGGACGGCTCTTGATGGTGTATGGAGCTGTGCGGCTGGAGATGCATTATCGGGTTCTTGAGCCACTCTTGCTTTTTTGCGCGAAGCATGTGCGGGGGCGAGCGCTCCCTGTCTTTCTGCTTTTTCCTCAGAGCACTTTGAAGATTGGTCTAAGATCGTTTTGGCGCGAAGCATGTGGCGTGGGGCAAGCCCTCACACGAGCTGCATAAAGGTTTCAGTGTTAGGTCCGTGGCCTGCGGTTTTAAACCCGCTTCGGGTTCCTTTGATTCGTTTTGCAGCTAATGGGCAGTTTACACGAGCATCTCTGCCAGCACCTCCCCCGCTGCTACTTCAGATTCGCCAGCTCCTGCAAGGAAGACGCCGCGCTATTGGAGGGATTAAAGCCGTTTGGGTCGGACGCCTCCACGATGAACTTGCCTCCATTGAGGCGTGCCAGCGACTTTTTAGGGTACTTCGCTTCACTCGATCACTTCTCTTGTATACTTCAGTTTTCATTTGCACCACTTTATGGCTCTGAGATAGACTTTAAGCCATATCCTTTCCGTACAGACTCCAAGTAAAGGGTGTACTGCACAGCTCAGTTCTGCCCAACGATTCCGCCGCCTTTATACCTGAAAAAGAAATCGAGCATTGGCCTTGCGATTTGCGTAGGCAGAAATGGCGCTCAACAAGTTGACATCTGGCCCCGAAATGCCATTGAAATGTGTGGATGCTGCATTGGAGCTGGGGGCGGCGTGCGCCGCTCGTCTCGTAGGTCTCAGTTATCAGGGAGGCGGAGTAGAAGCCGCTCGTCAAGGAGACAAGACAATTTCACAACTCATTATGGTGGTGAGTTATTTGGACGAGTTGGCTGTTGTTGAAAACCCCTCCTTAGAGAGACCGTTGCGCTACTTTTATTCTACTTGGTGTGAGTTCAAGTACTCCCTCAAAAATATACGTGCGCTGGTGAGTGATTCGTGCAGGATGTAAGCAGCGAAGAGGCAGAGGCCGTGGTGTGCAAGTGCTCCAACAGCGGGGGCAACTGGATGCTTAATGAGGAGCAGCAGCGGGTCCTTATCGCCATTTCTAGATGGTTTGGCTATACCGACGGGTGCCGCCCATTTGAACTCAGAGACGAAACGCAGCTTGAAAAGCAGCATGAGGACTCAGAAGAATACGAAAACAGAAGCGATCGTATTCAGAATTCCCAGGAATTGCGACAAGGTGAATTGTCTATATTTTCACAGGAAAAACCGCACTCAGTCTTCCATTCGAAGTGTCAGACGAGCCCTCCTGACAAGCAAGAAGAGGGCGAAGATGGTGACAGTTCATCTAAAGAGGCGCAGGGCTGCATCACAACTTCCGCAGCGGTGGCTTCGGCCGATGATGACGACGACATCGCGGACATTTGTCTTTTCCCCGAAGACTTGAATGAAGTTCAACAGCAGGAAGACAACGACCTAGAAGTGAGTGTTGGGAGCGCGAAAGGCAGGAGGCCTGAAGAAGGCTCTGCCTTTCCGCTGGACCCTCCTAGCGAGGTGGCTCAAAATGATGGTAATTATCAGAGTCCGGGTGTACCTGCAATCGCCACGATTGCTGGCGATGCACTTGGCGTTGGTATTGGAGCCGGCAAATACACACCTATGCAGGTTAAGAATTCGAAGGTTGTCGACTCGGATGCTGAGAAGTTGAAGGGCCAAGAGGCTCAGCAGCCTTCAAAGGCTCCTACTGGTGCCGTTACCTCTGCGTCGTCTCTGGCGTCCACAGCAGTTGGTATGCCTGGCTCTTCAGCACCCGTATTTCTAGTTCAGGGCGTCTTTGGTGCAGGCAAGACTACGATGCTGGCAGCCTCTCTAGCGACTCTTTGCAGGTATGGGTGGCAGCCCACATCTGCGTCGTCGTTATTCAGGAGGCTTTGCGGCTTGTGCAGCAGCTTCTCGCTTGCAGCTTTCCCAAGCTTGTTTCCTTTTGTTTTTGCGTGCCCCTCTGTAGGCTCCTGGACCTAGCGAAGAGCCGCAGCCGTGTACTGTTGGTATGTGCAACCAATGCAGCTGTAGATGGCGTGTTGCTGCGGCTGCTGCGGCAGTATGATTGCTGCGACTTTGCTCGCATTGGCCGCCTGTCAGAGATGCAGCCTGCGTTGCTCCCGTACGCCATTTGCAGCAGTGCTGCACGCAATACAGCCGTGCACGAGTTCAAGGCCGTATTATTTGGCCTTCTTGCTGCACCTGGTGTGCAGACGACTCACGCAAGCATGGCAAAAGAGCTCCTAAAAGGCATCGACAGTGGTGCCTTTCCTCCCCCAATGCAGGTTGGGCAGCCAAAGTACACTACAGCTTCTGCGGAACAGACAATATTTGAAAGCAAGCTGTTGCTATTAGGGATGAGTAACTGCGTTTCTTATTAAGATCAACTATTGCTGGCTGCGTTAGGTCTGCTACCCCGACTGTTTTGGCGTGCAGGATTCCGTCTTAATGTTTGCTTTTGCTGCTGTGTTTGTCTGTGTGGCGATGCTGCAGCAATGGAAGCGTCGGCGCATCTGGGCCACGACGTGCAGCTCGTTTGCAAGCAGCGATCTGTTTGCTGACGGGGGTTTTAGGGGGGCTGCTTCAGAGGGAACAGCAGGAAGCTTTTTTCCCTTTCTACTGATGGACGAGGCATCTCAGGTTGCAGAGCCCTTGGCGGCAGCTGTCTTGACACGTGCTCAGCCTTTGCGTTGCATCTTTCTTGGTGACACACGTCAGCTGCCTCCAACAACGCGGCTTCGGGGCCCCGTAGCAGCGACAGCTTCCTCCCTCTTTTCGCGGCTTCTTCAACAAGCAGCGCCACCGGCTGCAGCTGCGGAAATGCATAATGCCTCAGCCCACAGGATGGAAAAAGGGGCATTTCAAACTTGTCAGAGCGGCAACCAGGAGTCTGAAGGAAATTCATTTTTTAGCGTGTTCCAAATGCGTTTGCAGTACCGCTGTCATCCTGACTTGGGGCGTTTGGCTGCGGGGTTATTCTACGGACCTTTTGTGGCGCACGGCGTGAGTGCAGCTCAGCGGCTGCCGTTGCTGCCTGAGTGGAGAGGAGCGTTGTGCTTGGCGGTTGTTCGGGGGGGCCGCGAAACAAAAGCTGGACGATCGCTGATTAACGTGCAAGAGGCATCTGTAGTTGCACGCCTGGTACACCATGCGCTGCACAGCAAACAAGCAGCGGGCCTGGGAAATTTCAAGATGGAATTTCACCCACCGCGGCCCAGACCTGAGGACTTGGGCGTAATTTGCTTTTATCGTGCTCAAGCAGACGAGGTCAAGAGACAGCTGCTCCGGGTCCTGCCAAAGGCAGTTGTGGATTCGGTGCAGGTTTCCACTGTTGATGCCTTTCAGGGGTCAGAGAAGGAAGTTATTTTCCTCTCTCTCGTGCGTGCACATGCAAATATGCACGGAGCTGCTGCAACACGGGGAGGCACTCCCGATTTTCTCACTTGCCCTCATAGAGTATGCGTGGCCTTGACGCGAGCTAGAAGGCAGCTCGTCATTGTTGCTGCAGACACCTTTCTAAAGCAGCAAAACAGCCTCTGGTCCCGTGTTTGCAGTCAAGCTGCCCAAATTCACTTTTGATATTTTTTGTTTACTCACGGATAGCAGCGTCTCTCCACGTACACCTTCTACAAATCCTGCAACACAGCTTATTTGCTTGTTAGGGTAATAGACGAATCAGGATCTGCATCCGTCGCTCACACGTCCAGATGTGAAAGACTATTAAGGCAGTTAAAGGCTGTTTTTGTTTGGAATGCGCAAGGACTTGGCAGATGCGACTGTGATTCATTCTTAGGGCGTCTCATGAAACCGCTCTTTGCGGTGTTGCAGCACTTCGACCAGCAAATGCCTGCGGAAAACAAGTAACAACCGGTGGACGCGTAAATTATTGCCGGCTAGTTAGCCTACGCACATAAAGCTAGCTAGCTAGCTAAATAACTAACGCACAGCTGGCTGCCTTAGATATGCAGTTTGCTGACTTATCTTGGATAGTCTTTCGTGTTGCATGAGATCACGGCGAGCTGCGGTGCATTGCAATTCAAAGGCGTAACCATAGAGACACAAAACAGTAGATGGAGAACTGCCTCAGCGCAGACGCCGTCGTACATCACCCAGCGCTAAGTGCTTTGAGGATAAGGCAGCTGAGGCCTCTGGCATCTCGTCAGATTGATGATAAAAAAACCAAAGAAAACCCCTGGGAGAGCCTCTTGCTAACGCAGAGAGCGGTAACTACTGAAGGTAGACACACCCTCTCCATTCATTCACGCATCTGCAGATCTTTATTAATGTTACAGCAGATCATCAGTATTTCGGGTTCTTCCGAGCCTATGTGAATTCAAAAAACAGTCCAGAACTAACATATATTTGCATTTCTCCTGTTGGTTTTGATTTATTATTGAAGTTGCTGTGGAATTGAACGGCTGAGATAAGCACTTCAGCGTACATTTTTCGTTGAGTTGGTTCTGTTTGGAAGGCATTCTCCGTAATAGTAGAAATATAGACTTAAATGAATGCAGACAGCTTTCTTTTTCCTTTTTTGCTTTGCTTCTATTTCTCCTTATTGCAGCTAGGCTTCCTTCATCCTCCTGTTTCTGGAGGTGTGTACTCACACCTAAAAGCACCTAATCATCAGAGGCGCCAATGAAAAAGATTAGGGTTTAGGGCTTGGAGTGACACGAGATGGCTTGGGACAGAGAGATAGTCTCCCCAGATATCCGCATAAACCCCAGAGCAGGTGTAGAAACAGCTGGGGTTTCTTGTTTATTGTACGCAACGGGAAATGGAATTCGTACGAATGATACAGCATTCAAAACAGCCAAACAACCACATGTACATTCAGATTGATGCTTTTATCTCTTTGTTCGTACCCGTGTCTTTATCCTGCTATTTTTCTGTATTTTTATCTTCTCTGTCTATTTCTCTCTCCACTCGCTTCTGCCCTATTCCAGCCATCTCTGCTTCTCTTCAGTCTCCGCATTTCGCCCTTACTGAGACGCCTCTTTGTATCTCTTAAATAATCATACAAGTAATAATAATTATTATTACTGTTACTGCAGCATATTTGCTTTTCTGTCTGTACCTGCCCTACTCTGTGCCTGCCTTTGGGGATCTCGAATAAAACAAATAAATCTTTCGAGTTATAAAACAAATCACATATCCACGCATGCTCTGCCCGTGGGCAAGCAATACGGAAGCAGGCACCTCCATTGTTCCTGCTGCAGGTCCATGAGCTGCTGCCGCTGCTGCAGCTGTTCCTGCTGCTGCAGTTGGTGCTGCTGCAGGTGATGAGCGCTTCTCCCGTAGGTGACGCTGCTGCTGCTGGCGCTGCCTTTGCTGCAAATGGTACTGCTGCTGCAGGTGCTGCTGCTGCTGCAGGCGCTGCGGCTGCTGCAGGCGCTGCTGCGTCTGCAGGTGGTGCTGCTGCTCCAGATAGTGCTGCTGCTGCAGGTGGTGCCACTGCTGCAGGTGGTGCTGCTGCAGGTGTTGCTGCTGGAGTTGGTGTTGTTGTTGCACGGGCGTGCTGCTGCTGCAAACGACTCTGCTGCTGCCGGTGGTGGTGCTGTTGCAAGTGCTGCTGCTGCTGCAGGCGTTGTTGCTGCTGCAGGTAGTGGTGCTACTGCAGTTGGCGCTGCTGCTGCAAATGAGCGACAGCGGCGTTCAAGTTTGGGCTTGTTCATTGATCTCGGGGGAGTGAAGTAGAGAGAAAACGAAGTGGAGTTTCTTTGAATCCTTTACATAGGCAGCAGTAATGCATTATAAATATACTGCAATTCTTTTCGAATTGATGTGCAGACATAAACATATTTATCTATCTGCCTTCGTATGCAAATCATAGAAAAAGATAACACCATATACAACAACACCCAGCTAAGCGCACATCTCTGCGCACACTGCACACTGACCCAAATACTTCGCTCCTTCTTCAACACCAAAAACAATTTCTTCCAATTCTCAGCTATTTCTATTTTATCATTCACTGCCTTTAACTACTAGGCCCAAATAGGAGGCCCCGGATAAGGTACCCAGCTGAGGGGCCCCCTAGTGACGGGGCCCCCAGATTAGGGCCCCCCGCCCCACATACGGGCCTCCAGATAATAAGGGGCCCCCAAGTGAAGGCATCTAAGAAAAGGGGACCCAGGGGAGCGACCCCAAAGGAGGAAACCCTCGACAAGGGGCCCCCAACTAAGAGAAAGGCCTCCATATGTGGGCCTTTCAAGACGAAGGGTACTCATATTTAAGGGGGCCCCCTAGTGAGGGGCCGTCCGTTTGTAGAACCCTTATATAAGGCTATTCTTTGGCGACGATGAAGTTTTTAAGGCGATCGCAGCCTCGGTCTAAGTTGGGGAGTCCTGTGGCACAGCAGCAGCAACAGCAGCACTGCATTACAAGTATGCTCGTTGCTTCTTGTCTGTCTTCTCCTTCCAGGCCCTTCTGCTCAGCAGTATCTTCTTAGGGTTCTGCAACGCCCAAATACACAAATCCACGCATGAAAAAGGAAACACCGGGAGACGACAAACAACACCTTCATGCGGGAGGTGGAGGCTGGAGAACAAAGAAGAGAGAGAAATAAATAAATGCTTTTTAAAGCAGTAAGAATACACCTACATAAATATATATATATATACGCATACGTGCATATAGAAAACAAACAGAAAAATATTTCTATAACAGAACAACATGAGGAAAACAAAGCATCTTAAGCATACCCTTCTCGGGATTTAGCTGCTCCTTCAGTGAACCATGGAAGGCAAGGGGGTTCTGCAGCGAACAGAAAACAAACAACAAGACAAACAAACATCTTCATTTGTTTCTCTCTATCGGAGCTGCACATCTCTGTCTCTTAACTAGGGCTCCACTTCTTCTCTCCCTTTTCTGGGGGCCCCTTATACGGGGGCCCCCTATAATTAATGCTGCTGCTGTACGTCTGTCTCTGTCTCTTCTTGTCTTTTCGTTCAAGTCTTTGTTTATCCCCTTTCACTTTTTTCCTGCTGTTTCTCCTCCTATTTATTTATTTATTTATTTGCTGTCTGCATTCGTCTATAAAGAGAAGAAGTATTTTTTTCTTTGTCTCTGTGTTGTTAAGTTGTTTCTGTTTTTTCTTTCTCTTTGCTTCTTTCTGCACTTATCTATTTGTTCGTCTTCATCAGAGTCCCCCCTATTTCTATTTTCTGTGTCTTTCTGTTGCACGCCTCTGTCTATCGATTTTTCTCTGTCTCTGTCTTTGTCTCTGTCTCTGCGTTTTCTTCTTTATTTCTTTTATTAATACTTCTGTCTCGCCTGTCTGTTTGAAGGAAGAGAAATCAAACAAAATGCATCATCTCCTTGCCCCACAACAAACAGCCCCGGCACAGAAGACACCAAATGCCGGATCTGCAAACACCCACACCGCAGACTAATTCAGGTGTACATACACCTCAAAATGAAATAAATAAATAAATATAAATATATATATATATATATATATATATATTTTCCACTCACTGACACACAAAAAACTCAGTTTCATGGAGGCCAGCAGATAGCAACAAACCCTAAACCCTAAACCCTAAACTCTACACCCTAAGCTCTAGACCCTAAACCCTAAACCCTAAACCCTTGACCGAACAAAGGGACAAACGAAGTAAAGAGAAGACTGCACTGTCTCAGCTGAATGAGCTGCCTAGTGAAATACATATATATATATATATGTATATATAATAGACTCGTAAATATGTATAAGCAATATATACATTCACATGCATATACACGAAATTCGATATAATACCCCCCCTATATATATGAAGCAGAAAAGAAGAAGAAAAGAAGAAGAAAAGAGCTTACATCTGAACAGCCTGCATGCGCCATGGGCCCCTCTAAGTCGCAGCCATACAGCTTCTTCCATTCCTCTGCTATCTGAGATAACCGAACTCCTTGTACACCCTGAAACAATAAACAAACGCTCTAGGGTTTAGGGTTTAGGGTTTTGGATAATATATATATATATATATAT